ATTGATCTGTATGATTGACTTAATCCATCGAATACACCAGAATATCATCCATAAAAATGATCACAAAAATTTCCAGAAACTGCATGAAAACTCTATTTATCGGGTTCATGAAAACTACTTGAGCATTTATCAGTCCAAATGGCATCACGACAAATTCATCATGCCCATATATAGTCCTTAAATCGGTCTTCATTGTCTTCTTCTTTAATTCTCAACTAGTGATAGTCTAACCTCAGATAAATCTTTGAAAAAAAGAAACCCCTTCCAACTGATCAAGTAAATCGTCAATCCTCGACAGTGGATATATTTTTACCTGTGGGTTTATTCAACTCTCTGCAGTCAATACACATCCTGAAGATCCCATCCTTCTTCACAGATAACACTGGAGCTCCCAAGGTAAGGTGTTAGGTCTGATAAACCACTTATTTAACAATTCCTACAATTTCTTTTCAGCTCCTGCAATTACTTAATTGTCATTCTATAAGGTGTTTGGATACAAACTCAGAACCTGGCAAGAGCTCAATACTTAAATCAATATCTCTCACTGGTGGTAGCCCTAATAAATCATCAAGGAACGCTTCTGAATATTCTCTTACCACAGGAATATCACCCAACAATAATACTTCCTTAGAAGTATCTGCCACTTGAACAAGAAAACCCAGAATTCCATGATTCAACAATTTAAAAGCTTTCATGCAATCAATTATCATAGATGTCAGTCCTCTGTCACCAGAAAATTTAACTTCCACCTCCCCAGGTACATTTATTTTCACAGACTTCTTATTGCAATCAATAGTGACCAAGTTTTTAGAGATCCAATCTATGCTTACAAACACATCAAAGTCCACCAAAAGCAACACAATAAGTTGAGCATTAAAATTTTTTCCACCAATCATAAGCTTCACCTCACAGGCTTGATCAACATCTAGGAAAACATCATTTGGCATTCTAACTGATAGTATCACATGCATTGAAATAATATTCAATTGCATCACATTAGTAGGTTCATTAGCTATAAATGAGTGTGATGCTCCCGAATCAAATATTCTATTATCGGCTACTCGAAAGATATATGATAATTACAATTAAAATCATTTTAATAAACATTTAGAATCAAATTATTAATATATTTAAATTCTGACTAGTTTTATGACATTACATGAATCATAAGAGAAGGAAGTTGTGCTCTAGTACGTGCGGAGAAAGAGGAGGTGGTGGCGGCATGCTCTGGATTGAGTCAAAGTTGAGTAGGGACGGAGGTGTGACCTTCAGCGTTGTGCTCGCATAGCTGAGGAAGGCAAGTCGAGCCCCAGTCAAACAGCTTTGGCACTGTGCTTGCGTAAACAATGAGGAAGGAGATTTGTGAGCCTCGCATGTAACAAGAAGGCTCCCTGCTACTGTCGAGCTCACGCGAGGGTTAGGGCAGCCGGCCGAAAACTTAAGATAAGTTCAAGATTTTTATTAAGTAAATTCATAAAAATGTTATATATTTATGAGTGTAGATTTAATTAATTAATGTGTTATAAAGTTGCTAGAAACATGTATCATAAGTAGATTTTGATGCCAAGAAGAAAGTTGGCTCATATGTGAAACTAGGCTTTATGTGCAAACGATAAGAATAAAATCTTTCAGGTATTTAATGTTTTATGATGTAAATTTGTTTAAATTGAAATTATTGGTTTACTTTACTAAATTCTAATGACACATTTAAATTAATCAGAGATGAAAAATAGAAGATTAAAAGTTGAATCAATTAAAACTATAAAAGAAAAAGGGGAATTTTGTGCAATGAAGCAAATCAAACTTTTAAGGTAAGAAATTGTAAAATTATTTGTGTCATTTTAATTGTATGACATATTTAAATTAATCAGAGATAAAAAGTAAATAATTAGCATTATCAATTAGAATTGTAAAAGAAAAAGGTGAAATCCGTGCAAGGAAGCAAATCAAACTTGTAAGGAAAGAAATTGTATAATTACTTATGTGTCATTTTATTTCTATGGCATTAGATATATTAAGTATTTCTTTTAAAAATATGATTATTATCAAATAATATGCACGTTTATTAATATAGATGGTAGTCGAATAGAAGTTAGTGGGTGAAAAGTATTTCAGAAATCTTTTATAAGTAAATGTGAGTTATTATTTTCCTTTATGTATTAAATTAATATTTAATTAAATGAAAAATCACAATAAATAATTTAACACAAGTATTTCATTCATGAATTTCATTTTAAAAGCCTAAAATGACATGAGGAATGAGAGAAAAATAACATGCTGATGAAGATACATTTTAAATGATTTTAAATTCATATGAAATGAAAGATAAAAGTTTAATTCATACAAGATTACTTACAAATAGAGCTGCAAAAAATGCGAGGTACACTGGCACGTTAAAGAAAATGATAAATATACACCTTCGGGTGCAATTTAATGGTACCTTCGAGTGCATTTTTTTTGTTGCATTTGAAACATTTTTTTATGATACCTTCAATTATGACAGTAATCATGCTATAACTTTTAAAAATATTAAAAACGATAAATATTTAAAGTGAAACGAGAAAGGATAAGTTTAATTTTTTAATGAAATAAAAGGCATTTTATTTTGCTCATTGGTGCATAACATAGCATAAGAATTTAATGCATATTAGATTATAATTATTCACTAAATCATACTTACGGTTACAATTAATATTTTTTTCAGGAAAAGAAAAGTTTTAAATTGATATTTCTGATAGAAAAGACATGATTTACAGGAGGAGGACTGCAGCTAATATGTAATATTATGATAGGTTTGTAATTTCTTTTTGTACTATTTTTTGGGATAGACATATTGTGAGGATTTAGATTTTACTTACAAATTTTATGTTGTCATTGTTGTGGTTGGATGATTTAAATTTTTTTGTTGTATTTTGGATTATTAGCGACTCTTTCTTGTATGTATTGAAAATTAAAAAAAATTGATAAATGGTTAAATGATAATATCATCTGACCGCAATGCCCGCATTAGTTAACTCTAAGAAATGAGTCAGAACGTGACAATCAAGGCGTATCAATATAGGTTTTTAAAAACTTTCATGGTTTAAATCATCTTATCGCAAAAAGAATGTTTTAAGAAGATTACACTTTCACTTTATTTGTTTGTGCCTTCAATCGTACTTCTGAAAATCAGCTCTAAAAGATCAATATGAGCATTTCCATGAAACTATAGAAGGCATACAGACAATAACTCATGACATATTACAAGCTTGAAAAAAAATCATGAGACAAGTACAAAAACTGTCAATGAGAATTCCTACGCCAGAGAAAGACAGCATAAAGAATGAATAATAGATTTTAACAATAACAAAGGCAACCTTAAATGTTGAAAACAATAAACCTTACGTTCATCGTACTATATTGTGTTTGTCAAAAGACAACAACCGACCAAAAAAAATAAAAGGTTTATGATGATTCCTGTAACAATAAATCTCCATTGCATGGACCATGACTAAGGGACTTTCCTTAACTCGTGCAATGAACCCATGTGTTAAAGCAAAATAAAACAATTTTATATTTAAAATAGCACTTTTTACATGCATAAACATACAAAATAAGTTCTAATAATCTATCAATAAGCAGAAACTGAAACACCAAACCAATGAGAATATATGGATCAATTACAAATGCAAAATCGGATTAAAACCCTAACAAACATTCTTAAACAAAAACTACTAACGAAGGGATAAACAATGAGCACAAAAACACCTATTGTTGAAGCACATGCTTCAGTGATGATTTGTTCAACAATTAACTACTATTGAACAATATGCTCCTATGATCTTTGTTCAGCAATTAACGATGGGTTAGTTTATTTTTTGAAGCGTAAACATAAATACACAAGACATGCAATATGACCAATGAAGCAAGCATAAGAAAAAAGATACATTATAACATACCAATTATAAATCATGAAAAAAAAAGTAAAGCTTGTAAATCTAGATTATCACATATGAAAAAAAATTAATGATTCTTACAATATATGAAACAAGAATTCATAAACAAAATTATAACTACATTCAAATGTTAAAACATTCATGTGCATACACACCATATTTATAAATCAAAAAAAGACATTACTTGAAACGGAGACAAATCTTCACAACCAAATGAGTGTAATGGCCCTCAAGAAATTTCTAATTTTATGGCCATGTCAACCCAATTTGCCAATCATGTCACTAAAAATGTATAATTGATGTTTCACATCCATCAATAATGCAAGCATAACTTATGTAAATGTTATATCAAATTATTAATAACAATCTGATATAATAAAGCATTTACCAACAATATGAGTACAATTATTATATTAGCAAAATTTATATATATGAGCAAGATTTATTCCACATTCACTAAAGCAATGTATGTAAAACAAATGATGCCATCATACGAATCATTTCAAAAGATTTAGACTTAAGAGTTTTGCTGCAATAAATAAGATAAACCTAACCACATGCCATAAGAGAAATTAATGTGAGTTTAAATTTTTTTACAAATGTGAAAGGCGTGATTTGCAATCTATTAAACATGTAAGTGAATCAAAAACAAGTGATAAAGATGATGTCACCAATTAAAAAGGCTGTGATTATCTCCTGAAAAAAAAGGCGACCTACTGTTAGATGTAGCTCTGATGACCAATGGTTTTCTCAGATCCAGTGTACAGCACGAGACTATAACCAACTAGAAAACCCTAAATACCAAACCAATAACACAGTCACATGTATTGAACTGCAATAAGCATTCCAAAAACTCATGATTTCTTCACAAATCAACCTAGTTCATTTCATTTCGAGTAAGAAATCCAAATTACATGGACTTTTAAGCAAAAACTTATCACATAATAAACCTAGTTTATTAGTTATCATAAATTTTGTATGTAATAAAAATTATAATAATAAAAAAGTAAATAATGTACTGCTATTTTCTCTTTATTCAATCCACTAAGCAAAGCATTAATTTACCCCTTCGTTTCTATGTTGGCCACTGAACTTACTCGGGAGGAAAGAGACACTGAAGTGACGAAGAAGAAGAACCAGGAAGAGTAAGGGCGTGGACGACTAATGGCTTGTTGGTTCGTGTTAGAGAACAGCTACGAAGGCGAAAAGGGAAGAATGGCGGATGACGTCGACTCAAGAGGAATAAAAGTAAAGAGCGCTCGCATGGCTGGTTACTCCATTTGGTCTGTTAAAGAATGTGAAAACGAGGAAGAAGAAGATTGCAACAGGGTCGCCGTCGAAAGAGGAAGGAAGAATCGCAACATGCGGTTGAAACCCTAAGCC